GATTGGTTCTGTTGTTTCTTTGTTGGTTTTCTGTCTGGTTGATCTGCTGATTGATGAAAGTAGGATGTTGAAGTCCTCTGTTACTATTGTATTGGAATCTATGTCTCCCTTTAGATCTATTGACATTTCTTTTAAATAGACAGGTACCCTATGATTGCATGCATATACATTTGATATAGTTACATCTTCCTGTTCTGTTGATACCTTAACCATTACATAGTGTCCTTCTTTGTCTCTTTTAACAGTTTTTGATTTAAAGTGTGTTTTGTCTGATAGTAGGATATCTACATCTGACCTTTTTTTTGCTTTCCATTAGCGTGGAATATCTTTTTTCATCCTTTCAGTCTGTGGGTATCTTTGTTGGTGAGATGTGTTTCTTGTAGGCAGAAAATAGATGGGTCTTGTTTTTTTTAATCCATTCAGCCAGTCTGTAGCTTTTAACTGGAGAGTTGAGGCCACTTACGTTCAAGGTGATTATTGATAAGTAACAACTTGGCCCTGCCATTTTTCCATAAATATTCCCGTTTTTTTCTTTGGATTTCTTTTGTACTTTTACTGAAAAATTTTGTGCCTTCATATTCTTTTACAGTGATGACTATGCTTCTGTGTTTCTGTGTGTAGCACATCCTTAAGCATCTTTTGTAAGACTGGACTAGTGGTGACAAATTCTTTCAACTTCTGTTCATTATGCAAGGTCTTTATTTCACCTTCATTAATAAATGAAAGCTCCTTTGAAATTAATCTGGTGTTTCTCTCAAGTACATTTTAGGATCTTTTCTTTATGCTTTACTGTTGAATATTTGACTACAATGTGTTGTGCAGTTCTTTTCTGGTCATAGCTATTAGGAGTTCTATGTGCTTCCTGTACTTGGACACCAAATTGCTGAAGTTTTCTGTAATTATTTCACAATATAGGTCTTCTAGTCCATTCTCTCTTTCTATACCTTCAGGAACTCCTAAGACCCATATTTTGGATCATATGATAATATCCCATAAATCTCCAGCATTTCCTTTTTCTAATTTCTTCTTTTATTATTATTATTTTTGGTTTGACTGAAAATTTTTCAAAGACTTGTCTCTTAGCTTGGATATTCTTACTTCTGCCTCACTTGTTGCTAAGGCTTTCCATTGCATTTAAAATCTCAATTTCATGGGAAAAATTTTCCTTCATGTCGTGTGTGGATTTCTTTAGTTCATGGATTTGCTTTTGATTCCTTTTGAGTAATCCTATGATTAAACTTTTGAATTCCATTTCAAGCATTTCATCAACATCTACATCTTCACATTCTAAAATTTAAATGTTGTTGTGCTCCTTTTGGGAGTCATGATGTCTTTCTTATTCTTGCTTATTGAATTCCTGCTATTATTCTTAGGTATTTGTGGAAATACTTGTTGGTTTTTTCCTCCGATGGTTTTTATCTGTGAACTATGCTTCTTTGGCTTATTGGAATGTCTTCATGTTCAGTAAATACCAAGAGGTGTGTACTGGGTGTGGCCAAGGAGCTCTGGTCAGTGCTCCACGGTTGGGAGAGTATCCAGGATAATGCTCAAGTTGGTCATGGGAGATCACCTCTTGTCAACATAAGGAGGGGCATAGTCACCTCTGTTGGTGTGATCACCCTCTCACCTCCTCTCCTCCAAGCTGAGCAATACTTGGGTTTTAGCCCCTAGTGGGTTCAACGCTCATCCATACCATCGTATGAACCACACAAATGATCTGTGCAGTCCTTACCCCGAGCATGGATCCTACTGCAACCAGGTAACCAGAGATCTCTGGGTGTATGGAGCTGCACACAGTGATTGCCCAAATACCCAGCTACATCCTGCACTCTTTCATGCAGCCACTGAGTCCCCACAGTCTCAGCATACAAGGCTCCAAACAGTTTCTGGGTACAGAGGCTCCGTTCTGCCCCACCAACCTGTCTGGTCCACGGAGAGGCAGATGTTTCCCCAAACCAGCTGTCTGTAGGTTCTCTGCCTAGGAACCTTGAGACCCAGAGCTTGTGGTATGTTGCAAAAATGGGGGGCACCTCACAGTCCTACGTGGGTGCCTAGCCCTCTGTCTATCCTCCCAGCCAGGCTCAAAGTCAGTGGGGACCACAAATTTTTACCTCCTCAAGAATCTCTGGACCACAAGTGTACATAACAGCCACTGGCCAAATATTGCCCTTCCCCGCCACTGTCACTACTACTGCTGAGAAGATGTCATATCTCAGCCAGTTACTGTGCATATGCCCAAGAGCTTCGGCAGCTGCCACCCAAACCCAAAATGGCACTTGCCCTCTCTCACCTGGGTGCCAAATGTTGTTGTGGGAAGGATGGGGTGACAGAAACATGCACCTTTTACTTCCGCTGCATCTTCAGGTACCTGTCAGCCCTGAGGGCTCCCGGCTGGACTCATGCTGCGTTCTCCCTCCTGCTATATCAACATGGGCTGCTGCAGTTTGATCTCACCTCCATCTCCAAGTTGCCACCCGCTCCAGCTCATGGCTGCTGGAGTTGTGTGTTTTGTCAATGTTTGTGCTACTTGTCCTCACCTTCCACACAAGTCCATGGTGTTCCTCTTCCTTCGATAGAATGTCCACTGCTGTTTTCTCTCTAATTATCCCCTGAGAATGTACTTCCTACACTTTAAAAAAAAAAATTTATCCCTAGCCTAGCACAGTATGTTGTTCCCTATTCCACCATCTTGGAACCCCTGAAAAGAGTTTGAAAATTTTAATTTCTAACAAATTATAATATGATGTTGATCCTGCTGATCCAGGACCACATGTTGAGAACCATAGATTTTTCCAGAAGCTCTGAGATGGAGGCTAGCACGTTTTCATGAATGCCTCTGGTTTCTGTGGTTTGTAGCAAATCTGAACTGTTCTCTATCTGATTCACAGGGCTTCTTCTCTTCAAGTATATTTTAAACTCTGTATGCAGGAACTACTCACAAAATAGTAATGATACCATGGTGCGTGATCTCCATATGTGAAGCTTTGTGCTACCCATTGTATTTACATTAACCCATGAGATGCTATCATTTCCTTCCTTTAACATGTGAAGAAAATGGCAGAGAGGGCACACAACTTGCCCAAAGTTGCACAGCAGCACAGGGTGGAACCAGGATCGAAACCCTGGGTACACAAATTCTTTTTGAGCACTACCTAGTTTGTTGCGTGGTGTCCCGAGGCACCTGAGGAAAAGCACCTGGCAAAGCACCTCACACGTGGCATCGAGAGTCCCCTGCAATGGTGGCCATAGTCTCGGAAAGCAGGGATGATCCCCATGTGGTTACTGAGGGAGCTGAACAAGCACAGTCTGCCTTTTGTGGCGCTCTTTTTACTTTGTCCAATGCCTTTTGCACAATTCTGTGCATGTAGAAGTGAGGCTTATAAAATACAAGTATAGACTTGCTTCACAAATAGTTCAGCTGACTTTGTGCTGTGCTATTCACTTGCTGTCATTTTCTTATTATGCTTTTCATGGATGATGGCCCATGACTGAGAGGGCGGGACAGAACTGGGAGGGCATCCCACGCTCACCGAAAAATCTTTGTGCTGTTAGATTTGCCACTCATTTGGAGCCTTAACCAATAATCCTGGCTTAACAGCATTGCAGAGCACACGATGCAGCACAATTGCAGATGTGAAAACCAAAAATGAAATAGAACCCCCAAAACACATGTTCATGACTATTTTCAAAACAGCATCTTTAAAAGTCAAGCCAATAACGTTAATACAAAGAATCGATAATCACTATAAGAATATTTGCAAACACCATAGCATAGTTGCTACTGTATTGCTATTCTTTTGTTCAAAATAAAATCTCTTTTTTTGGCAGATCTCTTAATGAGTCCCAGATGAACATATCTGTTGCCTCTTTTAGCACAAGAAGCCTTAACATTTACAATTTCAAAGAAGGACATGCATGATTTATCACACATCAAAACTGAATATACCGTGCAGTCAAGCTTATCATTACACTAATTTTCCCTTATAAGGAGTCTATTTACCAAAATCAGACTGTTTTTTCAAATCCTTAAGTCCTGAAGTATATGTTTCCATATACTGTTTCCTTCCACTTTAAAAATATAGAAAACAATTTCACAAGCAGAAAGCACTTAACTCAAAACCCTAAAGTACTCATTTCAACCTGTATCACCTTACAGCATGAGCACCAGTTCACAGTGGACTTTGAAGACGGTAGGTGCATTTGGCTGTGTGGACTCTGCTCACTTCCACGGGCCCATAAACAAGAATAAGGGGTGCTGCAAGATGCCTCAGTCTCTTTTGTGAGCCAAATTAGGAGAGGACACAGGTGCAAACGCAGGCTCAAGGGTCAAGGTCGAGGTAGCTTGCCCACACTCCTGAAGAGGGCAGCAGAGGCGCCTCAGTGTGGGAAGCAGTACAGAAGTGGGGTAGAAGGCATGGATTTGGGCAACAGCCTTGCTCAAAGACGCGGAGGTGTGCTGCAAAACGCCAGGTCCTGAGAGGCAGAGCTCAGCTTTGAGGTGACCTGGCTGCTGTGCCTGGCCTCATTTACCAAGGGGAATGTCATTAGCAGCCTCTAAGCCTATCACCCTGCCTGCAAAGACACATGGATGCTCTTGTTTCAGTTATCTTTGCTAAGGTGTGTGAGAGATAGGGAAAATAATGAATAATTGACCCCAAGCATCAATACTTCTTTAACACTGTCTGTGTCCTGTCAGTCCTCAATCATACTGCAGCTTCCAGCAAATTGTAACCTAGGATGTACCCAAATGTGCTTCCGTGGGCCTCTGACCTCCAGTGCTTTCTTGTGTTCATGTGTTGGCTGCAGGGATTCTAAGATGCGATGAGATTCCTAGGATCCCTGCATCAAAGAGATACGCAGGTTTCTCTCAGGGTCTCCAGAAATTGGGTCCATACCTGGGACTCTCTTCTTACTGAAAGCAGCTGGCTTTTCCTGAGAACATCACAGTCTTGAACTAGAGCCCACAAGATGTTGTCTTGCTGCATTTAGCTTCTGGTCAATTCGCCTTTTTTTTTTTTTTTTTTTTTCTTGCTTTCATCCCAGGTCTGTCTCAGAAAACTAGACGAGCTCTAAATGTGATGAGCATTCGGGGCAAACTTCATTGGTGTGGATGTGTGTGTAAATTCAGAAGAATTGTCACTTTTCTCCAAAGCTATCAATTCCTGCTTAAATCAAGAAGGAAATTGCTAATTTCTTGGCTGAAATTGTTTCTGTCATTTTGATATGTACTTGAGACCTCTGCAGGAATATGTGTAGGTTTCTAGTGAACTGTAGTGAGGTTTAGAGCTGAAGATTTAAGAAAGCTCCAGATCTCAGACTTCCAAATAAACCATTGATGCAGTCAATGCTGCTATATATCCGGCTCAAGTGTCATAGCACAGGCGCCTGCTTGTATTTTGAACAAGAAATAATTTAATAGAAGAAAAGACTCCATTTCTGCATAGCAGACACTCCACTAATTAACTGAATATCAAATGCTTTTTGCCAGAGTGATCTTCTCCTGGACATAGAGATAGTCATTTGCCACTAGCTCTTTGGTTTTATTTTCTGTTAATACAACGGAGAGGGACAGGGCCTCTGGGAGACAGTCTGTTGACAGATTGGCCTCCTTGTGATACCCATGCTTCATTCTTCTCTGAATCTCAGAGGAAAACCAGCAGCCTTATTTCCCAGTTTGTTCCCCGTATGTCTCCAAGTTAGACTTGGCCCGTGAGAAGCATCCCCTGAGCTGTTCCAGGCACATAGAAGAAAAAGCAGTTTTTGCTTTGTTGCTAATTACCGGTTACTCAGATCTTTGGCTTCCTGGAGTGCTCCTGAGAAACACCCACTGGGGGCAACTTGTACACACTAGCAGGTGCGATTTCCTTGGAGATCTGTGCATTTCCAGACATCTTAAAAGCAACTTTCCGACCTTTACTTACCCAGCACTTCTCACCGTTGTCTGAACTTCAATTCCTCCATCTACTCTCTCTAACCAAAACAATCCAGGATGATTTCTGCTTTCTGATTGAATCCTGACTGATAAGAGGGCAAGCAATTCATCTTCTCTTGCCCCTCTCTACTTATAGCACAAAAGGGAAGGATATTAACCAGGGAGAAAGTAAGAGTACTTCTTAAATGCACATAGCTCACACTGCACGGTTAGGTATGAACACAGAGGTCAGAGATAAAGGCCCCACCTTCCAACAGTAACAGAGAAAACAGAGATACAACAATGACCAGACTTACATAAGCTGTATAGGTAAACATAATAACTAAAAGTGAATGCCAAAGGGGTACCGGACCAGGGAATCTTTCAGAGGTAATGTTCCCTGTGCGTGTATCTGTCTTCATTCCAAAGTCTTCCAGGCCAGTTCTCAGTAGGTGGCTTTCTGAGACATGTGCTGTCATCCATGACGGCATTCTGAGCTGCTCCAACACGCTGCTCCACCAGGGCAGCACCGGCACAGCATGCCTAGGGCACAGGACATGGGAGGCTTGCGAGTGAGGAAATAAAGGGTTTCACTTTCTGCTACTTCCTGCACATTCGCAGAATATCCCTGGGAAGAATCTGTAGGGGAAAATAAAGGCCATGAATAGTTCCATTGAAAGCGACATCTACAGGGGTGCAGTGGGGTGGCAGGAATAACTTCTTATGTTCTATAGCACAGTAGAATAACTGTAGTTGGCAGCAACCAGTTCTATATTTCAAACTAGCTAGTAGAGAGGATTCTGAATGTTCCCGATATGAAGAAAAGGTATCTAAGGTGAAGGATTAGCCAACTGCACTGATCTGATCATTATACATTGTGTATGTGTATTGAAATGTGACATTGAACCCCATAAGTATGTACTTATGATGTATCAACTAAAAAAATATTTGAAAAAAGAAAACAACTCCATTTGCAATTGTATAAAAATAATGCAAACAATGGGGAGTCATCTGTTAGAAAGATTTGTTTCCTTTTAAAGTATTATTTATTTATTTAAAAAGTAGAATTGGAGAGAGAGAGAGAGAGATCTTCCATCCACTGGTTGACTCATAAAGTGGTCACAACAGCCAGGTCTGAGACAGGCCAGGAGCCAGGGGCTTCATCTAGGTCTCCCACGTGGGTGGCAGGAGACCAAGCACTTGGGCCATCTTCCACTGCTTTCCCAAGCACATTAGCAGGGATCTGGGTCAAAAGCAGAGTAGCCAGGACTCAAACCAATACCCCATGGGATGCCGATGTCACAGGGTATGGTTTAATCTACTATGCCACAGCACTAGCCCCAAGATTTGGGTTTAGAGAAACGTAAAATATAGACTCCCAGTGGCTTGAGCAGTGTAGAATGGGAGGTAGGCAACCAGAGGCTTTCCACTGTCTTCTCTCCATCCTCTGCTCCGTGTCCTCAGCATCTGGTCTATTCCGAGCTCTTCACCTTGTGGAAGCAAAATGGATGCAGCAGTCCCAACAGAGACATGGAGAACGGAACCAGCTCGAGTACCTAAAAGGGAGTTGTGGGTCTGGTGTTTGGAGAAAGTGAGACTTTCAGCAAGCCACCCTTCATACCAATTCCATTGGCTAAAAGTAGGTCCCAAGTCTACCCTTAAACTTATCAATGGAAAGAAAATTGCCAGGATTTGAGCTTGGAACTGGGAATAGCATCCCCTCCTTTGTGACATATTAAGGTGGGATGGGTGCTTGATACTGGGACTTTGGCAATAAAAATAAACGAGGGAATACATATTGGTTATCCTGGAAATGGATCAAAAAAGGCAGTTTTAGTTCTTCCCCATTCAACATGATATTGGCTGTTGGTTTGTAATATATAGCCTTTACAACTTTGAGGAATGTTCCTTCTACACCCAGTTCCTTCTATACCTAGTTGTGGAGTTTTTTTATTTATTTATTTTTTATTTTTTATGAAGGGGTGTTGAATCTTATCAAAAGCTTTCTCTGCATTTATTGAGATGACCGTATAGTTTTTGTTCTTCATTCTACTGATGTGATTTATGATGTTTATTTTATTTTTAAAAAAGATTTATTTACTTATTTGAAAGGTAGAGTTACAGAGAGGCAGACACACACACACACACACACACACACAGAGAGAGAGAGAGAGAGAGAGAGAGGTCTTCCATCTGCTGGTTCTCCCCAAAAGGCTGCAACGGTCAGAGCTGTGCCCATCTGGAGCCAGAAGGCAGGAGCTTCCTCCAGGTCTCCTCCAGGTGCACGAAGACAGAAGGAGGATGGGCTGGAGGGAGGGAGGAAGGAAGGGAATATCATTATGTTCTTAGAATTGCATCTACAACGGCTGGCGCCGTGGCTCACTTGGCTAATCCTCGGCCTGCAGTGCCAGCACCTCGGGTTCTAGTCCCGGTTGGGGCACTGGATTCTGTCCTGGTTGCTCCTCTTGAAAGAGGAGCTCTCAGCTGTGACCTGGGAAGGCAGTGGAGGATGGCCCAAGTGCTTGGGCCCCTGCACCCCATGGGAGACCAGGAGGAAGCACCTGGCTTCTGGCTTTGGATCCACGCGGTGTGCCGGTCGTAGCGGCTATTTTGGGGGGTGAACCAATGGAAAAGGAAGACCTTTCTCTCTGTCTGTCTAACTCTGCCTGTCAAAAAAATTGCATCTACAGGTCACAATGAATTTGTTAAAATTTAATTAAACTGAAAATTGGAAAAAGGCAGCTTTTTGTAACAGGAAACAGGAGGGACCCCAGGACTTCCAGTCATGCTGAGCATTCAAACCGCAACCTTTGGGAAGTTTCGGTGTGCCCCACCTAGTTTTGCACCACAAGATGCAACTGTGCTCAGATTCATAATTGTACTTTATGTAAATTTGCATTCAGCTATTTCCAAAATTCTTTCTTAAATCCTGATTTCAATGAGAAGAATACTTTACCACAACAAGAACAAGGTCAGAAGAGAAACTCAACATTGTACTGAGATCAGAGAAACAGAATTTCATTATTGTGCTCAGCATAAATTGAGTCCCATGTGTGGGGGTTGTTGGGTTTCAGAATTGAGAAACCATTAGAAAATATTTCTGCTGCCAATACTTGCAATAAATATCTCTCTATGGAAAGAGACAATGGCAGTCCTGGGGGATCTGGAGATGATCTGGTCTAGATTTTTCTAGATGTTACCAGGTTTCCTTCAAAACACACACACACACACACACACACACACACACACACACACCGTGGTTCCATAGTTACATGTGTTAGAGAAAAGCTGGGTTAAACAAGGCTTATTCACTTACAAGCCTGGGTTCAACAGGTTTATTTCCTTCCAGAGATATCAGAGCATTTGCTTTGGTACCATACATTGTAGATTTCCAAGAGGGAACATCATATTCAGCATTTCCCAAACGTATTTGGCCACAGGATACACAATGTAATACAGTGGGACTGGGCTGCAGAACCCACTTTGGACATGCTGCCCAGGCACTTCATTCTGACAGCTAAGTAAGTGGAGGGGACTTGTCTGAGGTCGATCCCTGAGGATACCTCAGAAAACAGATGGAACTGAGAGTCAAACAGAGCTTAACCCATTACGTCCCATCATGCTATTTATAGGACACATATCAAAACTTAAGTTGAACAATAAATATACTATTCATGATAACTTTGAAAGAAATACTGGTGTTAAAGTATTTACTGAATTGAAAACTTAAGACTTAATGGGTTAAAGTAAAGGACATAACATGATAAATTTAATGTGGATGGGATTAGAGGAGCCAACATAGTGTGGAGATACTTGGGAGGTTAAAGTAGCGAGAAACTAGTGCCATCTCCAGTCTAAAAGGGAAAAAGAAGGAACCTTGTTGCTGGAGCCCAACTGAGAGCTAGACCACGGAAGATCGGAGCCGCCCGCCAAACTGTTAAGTGCAGGGAAGAGAAGGATAATACATGAACTCAATCTTGCTCTCCTCCTTTCCTCCCACTTGCCATTGGTGCCACCCATTGGCCAAATCTTTCTGGAAGCCAGAGGTAGAGAGCGAGGCGCTCCAGTAGGACGGCTGGCACAGAGGTGAGCAGAGCAGGGCAATGAAGTATCCCCAAGACAAGGAATGCCAAATGCAGCCAATTTTCTCCCATACATTTCATAAATACATTTCATAAATGCATTTGAATTGGATTAATAAAACTCATGCATCATGAAACAGAAAAGGGGTAAAATCTGACACAAAGAGCACTTGTTCTCAGTGTGTGGTCTAGGGATTTCTAGAGGTCCTTAAGATCCTTTCTTCCCTACAAGTTCCATTTAGAATCATCTTATAATGTTATTTAACCTTTTACTTTCACTCTCTCACAAGCATACAATAGGGTTTTCTAGAGGCTTCATCATAATGTCATCATTCTAATAGAATGTGTATTTGTGCATTTTCAAATAAAAAATTGCTCATTTTTGATTTCTCATATGGTAGATGATAAACACTACTCACATAAATAAGATCACTTTGAAGTTCTCAATAGTTTTTGATGATAGAGAGCCACTTATGTAAAGGTAGCAGAGAAAGCAGATACGACCAAGGTATATGAAAAGGATTATTTTTTAAAAAAATTATTTATTTATTTGAAAGTCAGAATTACAGTAGCACAGGGTCTCTTGAGCAAGAAATTGGGGAGCTGCATTCGCACCTGGAGGGTTGACTAGGGAGAAATCTGTTTCTAGGCTTATTCAGGCTGCTGGCAAAAGCCCTGTCCTGTGACTGCAGAATTCATGAAGCTTGCTTCAGCCAGGTCAGCGATGGAGAGGGAGAGTCCATACTGTTTTAAGTCTCTAACTTCATGGAAGGTCCTCCCTGGATAAACTACCGTTAGTTTAACTTAAAGGCAACTGCTGGGGCCAGTCTTGTTACGGTGGGTTAAGCTGTCACCTGTAACACTGGAACCCTTTGTGAGCATCAGCTGCTCCACTTCTTTTTTTTTTTTTTTTTTAAGATTTATTTATTTATTTGAGAGGTAGAGTTAGAGAGAGAGAGAGGTCTTCCATATACTAGTTTACTGTCCAAAATGGCTGCAATGGCCAAAGTTGGGCCATTCTGAAGCCAGGAGACAGGAGCTTCTTCTGGGTCTCCCATGTGGGTACAGGGGCCTAAGCTGTTGGGCCATCTTCCATTGCTTTCCCATGTGTATTAGCAGGGAGCTGGATTGGAAGTGGAACACTTAGGCACCCACATGGGATGCCAGCACACAGGCTGATGCTTGACCAACTATGCCACAGCACCAGGCTTGCAGCTCCACTTCTGATCCAGCTCCTTACTAATGTGCCTAGGAAAGCAACGGAAGATAGCTCAAGTAGTCCCATGTGGGAGACCTGGATATTGTGGCCATTTGGGGAGTGCACCAGCAGATGGAATCTCTCTCTCTCTCTCCCCCTCTTAATCTGCCTTTCAAATAAATAAATTTTTCCCAAAAACCAACTGATTAGGCATCTTAATTACTCCTGAAAAATTCCTTCACCTTTGGCATGAAACATAACATGAATATAGGAGTTAGAGATCATCACCTTTACCATATTCTTTCAGTTCAACAGGACCCAGTTTCCACTCAAGGTCACAGGAAGGGGATTAGGGTAATGATTCATCATGCTCATGGTGTGTGTTCCTCAAGTAGGGTTCAGGTTCAGCCATTTATAAGGGTTTCTCTTAGCTTTTTTTTTTTTTTTTTTTTAAGATTTATTTGTTTGAAAGGCAGAGTGACGATACAAAGGCACCTGGGAATTCGTGCAAGTGGATGAGTAAATGTCTCAGAAAGAATTTCCTTTCAGGCATGATCTCACCTGTGTGAACAACATTCCAGTCATTCAATCAAAACAGTGAGGTCAAAATGAGGCACACAGACAGACAGAAGCATTGCTACCCCAGACAAATGAAACCATGACAACGAAGATGATGTAATAGACTATGGCTCAGAATCAGCATAAGGCAGCCTCCAAGATTCTGTTTCTAGTGGGCCTGGTGAATTGGCGCCTCCAGTACAATCACCATTGGCAAGTACAAATCATCCTGTAAAAGCGAACAATCAGATTGAAGTAGCACAATCAGATTAACGTAGGGATGTGTGTCAGGTTTTATAGTCCCTAACCCCGTCTTTGAATTGTTAAGTGGTATTATTGTGTTTTTCTGAGCTCTTTTTCCTGAAAACGGTTCAGAAAAAAAAATAGGAGTTTTAGAGGAACAGCCTACAGGTAGAGTAGCATATTGAACACATTTTCCAGAGACAAATTCGTCTGTAAGTGGAACTGTGAAGAGTAGCCCTCTGTGGGGCTGGGTGAGGTCACGAGGCCCATGATGTGAAAACAAAGCCCGTAGAATTATTCAGGGAAGTTACCCATCCACAAGGCCAAGGCCAACATTTTGAGTGGGACGACCCTGATAGCCTCCCCTTGCTCTGTACAAAATCTGTTCTCAAAAATGTGGATCAAGATGAGGATGAAGATGATGAAGATGAAAAAGATAACCGCAGAAGTTGTCAAAATCCTGTTACCTTCATACCTATCTGGAGCAGGAGCATTTGATAGTGGAAACAGGCCTGGCCCTCAGGTGGGTAACAAGAGTTCAGAGAGGCCACTGCCAGATTGGGACCCTCTTGGAAAGACGCAGAGGGTCTCAGATGCAGACATCACCTATTTTAAATGTTTCCCGGGGCAGTTGCTAATTTTTGTTCTAAATAGTTTGCTCATGGTAAAAGTGATCCACAGGAAATAAGGAGCACAAAATTCTGGCTTCAATTTTCAGTGTATCTAGTAGCTTAAATCAGTCTGGATGCTTTTGAGTGGGGTATTGTTTACATTTAGTCAAGCAAATCAATATACAGTTTCTTACCAGATATTAACATGGGCATTTATTAACAAAGACAATTGTAAGATGGAACCAAACTCTGGTAAAGCTTTTTAAAATCTGTAACAAATTAAGTTTATGTCAACAGTCATTATTTATAACCTGAATTCACAGATATATTAGATGATACCTTAAAAGGAATTTATACTAATTGGCTGCTTTAGCATTAATAAAGTATATAAAATTCTAGACATGGTACAATTTTTGAAAGGAATAAACCATAACCATTTTCTAGTTCTTTTATAAAATAGCTGAAGATACTAAGTTAATCTATTTCTTTCTGAGTCCCTCATAATAGATTCATTTGCTTCCATGCTCATCACAAATTTCTAAATGCTTCTCTAAGATTAGCTATCTTAATGATTGTTGTTCTTCATCCATTTTAAATGTGTGTGTGTTTTCCAGAACAACAGCCACGGGTCTAAAGGTAGGCAAATCAGTTCTCTTAAGGGAGCAACAGTAATTAAATTATTGTACCGCCACCCCTTGAGCCGTAATTTGAAAAGATGAAAGCTTAATTTTTCCATCAGTAAAGTCAATTTCATCCAAGCTGTTTTTCAGAGTGCCACATGCATTTAAAAATTACATGTTTAATCAGGAGCGAACGGCATTTAAACCCCTTATCACAATAACATGGACGGATTGTAAATTTATGGAGCATTTTCATAACAGTAAACGAAGTCTTTTCAAAATATATCCAGAAATCATCAGGCAAACAGGGCAGTATGGAAGCAAAACACCCACCGTGTGAGTCTACGGCAGAAAGGTCCCTAATAAATTAGAGTAAATAGCAGCTGAACTCTCCTCACCTTGGCTTATCTGTACAACGTAGCAAGGAAAGAAAGTTAGCATTAATTGGTGTGCTCAAAGGAACAGGCACTTAGAGCAATTAAGTCAGATGCAGAAAAACAGCTCCGCATTGAAAAGCTGACAGCAGGACTCGGGCACAATATACGTAATGAGTGGCTGAGGATTTTAATGGATGGAGGCCTGGAGACTAATGGACAATTAATGTAAAACAGATGACTTCCCTTGGAGATGACAGTCTTTGGAAAGGCACTTCACCTGCTGCTCAAACGAACACAGCTACAGAGAAATGAAAAGAGGAACGTGGTCTTATTGAACTGTGCTAGAGCTGGCATTTGTGTCCCTGCTTTCTCCTTGAATATTTTCAAAAACCAGGTCAGGAATTTAACAGTTGCCTGCAGCTCGTGGTGCCAGCCCCCTCCCTTGGCCTCCTGCCATCTCGGATGGCCTGAGCCTTCTAGCTGTCTCTTCCGCCTGTCTAGGAGCTGCCCTGGGGCTCACCTTGTTTCACAGGGCAAAAGAAGACAGGGCACAATACAGTGTTGCAGCCCACCTTTTAACATGTCATCAAACCACCCCGACATAGGAACTTCAGTAAATATAGATATATTGCTGCATTTCTTCAAAATTTTAGAACATAGTTGCTCTTCAAGCTCAGCCGTTTCAGTTATGCTTACTGAAGTCAGATAGCTGGAATCTTTCCAATCTGAGGTCTATAGCCACACCCAGGGTCTTCCTGGTCAGTACTTAGGTACCAAAAGCAGGTATTTAAATCACCTGTTTGGAAAGAGAAGTCTATTCCGTCTAGACATAGTGTTTCAATGGCATTTAAGCTTCCATGTGATCCGCCACAAAGCCTATTAAACCCAGACACAAACTCAACAGTGTCAGTGGGACAGGAGCCAATGGCCAATATAAGAGAGAGGAAGAAGGAGAAGACAACGAATATTGTTGCTCTATCCTAGTGGGAAGTGGGATTGCAATGAGCTATACTTTCATGATTCAACCAAAGCCTTGATCATCTTCTATCTCTTCCATCCCTATGCTCAACCCTCAGAAAATGAGTGCTTTTAAGTGATTTAAGTCACTGGGCCTTTCACCCCATCTCCGCCCCTACTCATTCTGAATGTACCAGCATTAGTAATTCATCATTCATTCTCCTCTCATTTTTCTTGCATTTTCTCAGAACAGTGTATTTCAGTTAGAAATTAGAGGAAAGCAACCCACAGGGCTAATTAACATCCTTGGGTGATTGTCTGAAGACTCTCAGAAGTCCTTGTATACTAAAAAAAAAACCGTTTTACATGCATCTCCAACTGATAGAATTTCTGTGAGATTGGCAGGTATTTGATGTAATGGTTAAGACACTGCGTTAAGACACATCCCATAAATAGAGCACCTGGTTCTAGTCCTGGCTCCTGAACTTCCAATCCAGTTTCTCACTATTGTGCACATTTGGGAGACAGATGAGGGCTCAAACTTCAGTCCCTGCCATCCACATGGGAGACCTGGATGGAGTTCCAGGCTCTTGGCTTCACCCTGGCCTTCCCTGGCTGCCTTTCAAGCAAAATGAAAATAGATTTAAAAAAATTCCAAATTTCTGTGAAAAAACATCAAGCAAACATTCCAGATGTGGAATTCAAAAGTGTCTTCATACAAGGGTGCTTCTGAAGGTTTATGGAAATAGAATGAAAAGACAAGTTTATTTTGGTGCAAAAATTTTTGGAATTGTGTGTGTGTATTTTTAGGGTCTTCAAAAAAACCTCAGGGAAAGTGAATACTCTGAAAAAATTCAGTGGTTTTCCATTTTCTCTGCATCTAAATAAACTTACCTTTTAAGTCCATTTCCCATACATTTTTTAAATTGCTCTTGTGTATAGGAGAAGTGTAAAAGGATATTAGTTATGGCAGAGAAAAGTAGAAGCAATTTGATAGTCAACAACGGGGGCCGGCGCCATGGCTCACTTGGTTAATCCTCCACCTGCAGTGCCGACATCCTATATGGGCACCGGGTTCTAGTCCCGGTTGCTCCTCTCCCAGTCCAGCTCTCTGCTGTGGCCCAGGAGGGCACATGACTGTCTTCAAATCAAATCATAGGACTTCCATGTCCTGTGTCACTGAGTTGGCAAGAACCTCTCCCTGAATTCTTGGGCTCCTTTCCTCCTGCCTGTGTGTACAAAAAGTCTGGAGGATCTCTTGGGTGCCCAGGACATCCCGCGGTCCCTGTGTGTCACCGGTGCTGCAAAGCTCCAGAGGAGGTTGGCTCTCCTGGCTCTGGGCCAAACTGCTTTCCTTCGCCCGGTTCTCACCTGCGCTCAGCTGAGGGTGTCCTGATGCCGGCCCTGAGAGTGACCCTTCCAACAGCTTCGCTGTTCTCCGAACAAAGGCATTCATCTGTCCCCAGCGCACACAGACACTCTCCAGCTCAGCCCTGTCCATGACTCAGGTGTCAGCTGCTGAGAGAGAAGGGACATTCGCAGGTTATCTGAACGCAGCAGTTCTCAGTGTGCAGGGCCCAGGCAGCAGCGCCAGTGTTAAAGGGGACATTTACAGTTAAAATGCTCATTCCCGGACTCTGCCCCAGACTGGAATCGGAGACTCTGGGAGCGGGGCTCACCATGCTGTCTCTTAAGCTCTCTCATGTCCTAAAGAAATTTGGGCTTTCTGCTCTGATCTCACAGCCAAACCCTCAGAGGCAAGGGATCTCCAAGTCCCGGCTACTGCCTGTAAAAAGGGCAGGCAAACCAGAGAGGTCAAAACATCCGGCAGGGAGGTCAAGGCTTGGTTTAGGATGCCCACATCCTGTAACGGAATCTCTGGGGTGGCATCCCAGCTCTGTTCCTGATCCAGCTTCCTGCTATTGCACAGTCTAGGAGGCGGTGGGAGGGTGGGAGTGGGCCCAAGTGCTGGGGTTCTTTGTATTTCCATGGGAGGCCCAGCTGGAGTTCCAGGCTCCTGGCTTCTGCCTAGCCCAGCCCTGCTGTTCCAGGTATTTGGGGAATGAACCAGAGGATGGAGGACCTCTCTGGCTTTCTCTCCGCCCCTCCACCTTTCAATTAGATAAACATAGTTTTTAAAAACCGGAAACCAGAACAGCTCTCAATCTTTTCGATCCCCCAAGAGTAACAATAGCAACAACAACAACAAAAAAACTCACAAACAAGAGTGAAATAGCTCAGGTAATTAATTATCCCTGCCCCTTATCAAGCACACAGTCTGGGTTCATACAGCATAAAGGAAACCTGAAAGCTCATCTGATCCACACTCAGCGACAAATCCTCAGCCTTGCTTTCCATGTTTAAGAATTCAGGAGGCTTTATCCTGAAAAGAGAGCATGCTGAGAAATAAAGGTCAAGTATTCAGACGAGGCTGTTCCACATCTCCATGGACCGAGGATCCGCGGGAACACCTCTGGAATTTCAATTGTGTCTCCTTTGACAAGGATTTCCTACTGATCAGGACGGAACCAGCACACAACTTCCTTGCACTTCACAATTCAGTGTTAAGAAAATACAATTACCCCCCCCCCCATACACCAGACAAATGCTAGTCTTTATCACATCATATTTCAACTTTGTTATGAAGGTTTGAATCATGCAAAAGTGGAGATTCCTTTCCATCGTTAAGTCCAATTAAATGTCACTGTTTCCTGATTCATCCTCCTGCTGCCCCAGATTCTTCCAACACATTTCAAACCCGAGATTTTCTGAGCCGCTTCTTCTTTCCTAAGTCATTTTAAGAACCTGGCATTAAGACGTAATTACATGACTGAAAAATACTTTTGAAGCCTGCTCAGTGTGACTTTTTTTAATAGTGAGGTTTCCGGATTGCATGCCTCAAAGGATGATTTCCTGAGCTGAGTATAACTTGAGAGCATCTCTGTGGGCCCATTAGTCAGTCACCTCACAAAATTACACCAACCCTTTCAGGTGCCCCGGGGTAGCTACAATTTAGGAATAAATGAATAGATTATGCCTCATACAGTCATATATTTTAACAGTGTATATTAGCAGCTGAGATTTCGGAGCAGCCTTTGGCTTCTGAGATTATAGTCACAGTTAATACTATAAAATGTAAGATTCGCTTTTTGTAGAATCAAAAACAATTTAAAAGCCAAATGGAGAATCTGCCTTCAAGTTTCACTTGAGGAAACCCAGGCCACAGATCAATTCGGACCTTGAGCAAGGTCACACAGCCTGGCTGCAGTGCAGCAGGAATCGGACTCACCGTCCCCCACCCTGTCTTGCAACAGCCAGTTGGCCCTTTCAGCCAGTTCTTAATTTTCCACGCTCAGAAAGCCAGTCCATTACCTTCCTTCACGTGATTGCCACCTAGTGGTGACAGTGGTCATTGCTGCTTATGCAATGCGTAGGCTTACAAGGCCAGAAGGAAAATAGAATAGAATTAGCTCATCTTTAACATTAATTAAAATACCACTGTTCTGTTAGGCGCTTTATTGATACTATCTTATCCAATAATTAACACACTGCAAATGAAACGTTTTTATTTCCAAATATAGGAGCCTCAGAGAGACGAAGGAGGCTTGCCCAAATTCCTGCAGCCTTGCTCCCAGGTGCAGTAGCTGGGTCACGTTCTCCTTCCCTGGAGCTGAGTCCCTGTCCTATAACTTTGGCCTGCAGATGGCTGGATTTCCCCTGGCTCTTAGCAGTCCCCTCTGCTCTGTGACAGTCACCTCATGGAGAGCCAACAAGACCCACGGACACTAGGACAGATGAGGGCGAGGCGTGTGTTATCCAGTGATAGAAACAGAGTAAGCCTGGAAGTTGTTGCAGGTTCTGCAAAATAGAGCTGACAATCAAGCCACCACGGTGCAGGAAAAGCTAAGAGATGGAGAGAATATGAACCCAGTGACACCCCTTGTGCCCCCAATTCCAGCTGTATTTGAAGCCAGCTCTACCCCCGGGTGTTTCAGTTCTAAGTCAGTAAACGCCCCTTTAAGGATTAAGCCAGTTTGAGATGAGTTTTCAGTATCTTGGACTGCAAAGTCGTATATAATACCCAGAGTTTGCCCTTTCTCAGTTCCTTCTTTTTCTTACTTTCAACTGTCAACAAATCAATATTTGCATTGTGCCTATCCTTACAAGGCAAGGATCTGTTTTCTGAAACCTATCTTTGATGCTCGCAGGTACTGAACTTAAGTAAGAATATCACTTGATAAAGTTGAAATCTATATTTTATAATGAAGTTTCTACATAAATTCAAAAATACAAAATACCTGGAAAATCTTTAATTTCTCATCTTAACTATAAGCATCTCAAGAACAACTAAGGAAGTTACGATCTAAAGCAATTACTCTTTCATTAAGCAAAGATTAAGTTAAAGAGAGCTTTGGGTCTTCTGAGACTGTAGCCAGCTGTCCAGGATTCATGTGTCGTTGTGGTGTGGAGCAGTGAGATGGGTTTTATCAAATGAGACATATTCCCTTGAGAATGCCATGCATTTATTCAAGACAAGATTAAGACATATGCATATTTTGGGAAAGATGGCCTTACAAATAACATTTTAAAGGAAAACTCTGTTATCTATTTTTGGATAATAGGAGAAATTAATTTTTAAAATTATACCATGCTTAATGTTCAGAATAAGAAATTTATAACATGTAATTTTCTGAATAGTGTAACTTCTTGGGAGGTGAACTGTTTACAGTTTCAGGAATAACATAAATAACTTGATCCCAGAAGACATGCATACAATTTGTCTTCCCAATATTATGACTGCTCACTGTAGGAGGCTGTTTGTAAGTGATTCAGGGCAGATTGGCCTGCCTAATGACTGCCCTGTGCAATATTCAAACACTTCTCACAAAACTATCCAACAAAGATGCTTTGGCTGCAGCAAAAGAAGTTATTGTTTCTGCTTGTTACTATTTGAAGAGGCTGTCAATGGGATAAAGACATTTTGCAACTGGGAAATCATGAATAGACACTGGAGTTCAGTGCTACTATTTTTGCTGATTTATTTCATTAATGTTTTAGGACTATTTTCAGATTATTGATCAAGGCAGCTCTCACCTGCTGGCCTCCTGGCTCCCCATACTGCTCCTGGTTTCTATGCTTTTCTCCTAGAATAGCTGGAAAAAAAGAGAGACAGGTGGGGTCCATCTTCTGTCATCACCTTGTTCCCACCCATCTCCTCCTGTTCAACTCCAGCAATGTAGCTCTGAGCTCTTTTTTATGCTTGGGCTTCCTGAAAAGGTTTCCTTTCATTCATTCAACAATTGTCTGTTGTAAAGCAACTGACTCCCCCAACTTGCGCTGAGATCCTATGATACTCCAATGAACAAGAGAGTCAAGCGCCCTACAGACAACACACAAGCAAACAAGAGAAGAAACACAACAATACAGATGGGAGTGAGTGTGATCAAGAGAATGAAGTGGCAGCGTGTGTGGGGGTGTGGGGAGGGCTGAAACAGGCAGATATCATCAGAAAATGTGAGGAAATGCCTCAAGCAGGCGGTGCTATGTGAGTGGTGTATTTGAGCCATTTGAAAGTTAAGCCTGTGTGTGATAGGATCCAAATTTTCAAACAAGCATTTCTGTGTGCTTGGTAGAAGAAGGCAAAAGTGGGTGAAATCAAAGTGGCCAGGGAGAGTCAATTGGGATAATCATGCTAAGAAATTATGGTGGCAAAGATCAGAGGAGTAGTGGAACCGAACCCCCATGATGTAAAAGCAAGACCCAGCCTCTTGCATGTCTCCCTTAGCCCAAGGTGTCCTTGCCTGCCCTTTATCAAAAGGAATTCATGAACCTGAGGGAGTAATCTAGCTGACCTTGCAAGGTTCGAATCACTGGACTCAAGGAGTCATTTGCTTCTCCAATAGATAAGAACTTGATGGCCAGTGTTGTCCTGGGGTGGTTTGTGTAGAATTCCAGATCTGGGCAGAATGTAACTGCCACCTTCATGTAACCCCCAGTCCAACTGGAGCCCACCTGGCCATCATGAATTCCCTAAAAAGCACAGCATCACTGACCAATCAAAGGAAGGTTATGACCTCCACTGACCAACCAGGAACTTGGACATGAGCTGACTGGGCACATTTCAGGCCCAATTTCAATGTATAAGAACCTTCACCCCTAACTCTTCAGGGAGCCCAGGAGTTAAGCAATAGCTGCCCAGCTCCTGGCTCTGCCTTTTGTAATAAATATTTAATTTCTTCCGCCACCATGATGTCAGTGATTGGTTTTCTGCACGTTGGGCAGGTGGACCCAGTTTGGGGGTTCCATAGCTATTCCTCCAACCAGTTTGGGGTGTTTGGCAACAGTATCAGTGGAGATGGGGAGAAGGGAAAACTTTGGGGGCATATTTGGGAAGTTTTAGAACTTGCTGCAGATCTGTATACAATGGATGAAGCGAAGAATGGAATCAAGGTTGACTCTCACTTTTTTTGGTTTTGAATAGTTAGATGGATGATGATGTTCTTTATTGAGCTAAGAAAGGGATATAAACGTGAGTGGAGAATGTAGAAAAAGTTTTCTTTTGGATAGTTTTGGTTTACAGTTCAAATTTCATTTGGAGACAGGAGATAAAGCCCTGGAGATCTAATTTTAAAAATCATAGATCTAAATCATTGGGGTGAAAGAGATCACCAAGAAACAGGCCCAAGATCGCGTTCCAGGCACTCAAGTAATAAAAGTTTTAACAGAAACAGGGGAGGAAAGGCAGGATGCACACGTGGGAAAGGTGAGGGATTCTGCTATGAAACAAACGACTCCCACACCACTGGAGAAAAGAAATCTGCAGGAGTACCATTGAGTGTTCTCAGCACCACGCCTCAGGAGGACAGCAAAATCACTGCTGGGAAGAGGCAGGAATCCTTGGGCAGCAACAAGAAGGAAATCAAAAGAATTCAAAGAATCCCACAGCTTTTAAAAAGTCTATGAGGATTACAATAGCGAATTGTGGGAGAGCAATCTCATTCCTTAAATGCTATGCTGCAGAAAAAAAAGATTCCCTAATCTTCGGTGCACAGCTATGTCTCCGTGAATATCATTTATATTCTCTTAGTGGTCATTCCCACAGAATGCACAATACCTGGGTGGTTAGATCAGAAAGTGCCAGTCCCAACTACTTGTTTCACCACTGACTCTGTTGGAAAACATAA